TTGATACTAAAATGTATTAATGTAACATTAATATCATCATTAATCATTAATGTCTAATAAGATCAAATGATCATCTAAGATTTCTTTATTTTTTACTGTGTGAAGACACACACAATCCCACATGGAAGAATCCCTTTTTTAAAAGGGTTGCCAGGGCCACATGCGAAGCAAATGTTCGAGTGTTTTTCGTCTACACCAAATATGTGTATGTGTAGTAGGTGGCAACAATAGGCGTGCTTCGTAGGCGGTCGTTCTCGTCCACTTTTTTGGTCGTCGTCATCGTCAACGTCAAGCAATCCCCATAAGTGTAAAAAACAAGAAAGGGGCGTAGAGTAAAATACCAACAGAATGATAATGCTTATACTAAAAAAAAACCATATAGAAAATAGCAAACAGAAAATGGCAAGTATCAGACAACATACATATGTATATCCAAACCAGGAAGATAAAGAAAGTAGTACGTAAGTTTTAAAACCCTGACTGGTAATGCTCTTCAGCTTAATAAGTCTAATCTATTTAAACCCGAGCTAAGGTAATTACTTAAAATTGTAATTAATATAAGGTTAACGGTAAACAAAACACAAACATCACGAAATCCAAGTGCAGATGGATATTTGCATATATATTCACGTGTGTTTTGTTAACTTAATTCCCGGAAAACTTTCCATAGGCTGCCATCTGGGTAAAAACGAACATGAGAAGATGGACAGGACCGAGCACTGCGGCTATTCATTGACTATGTGCGCACATATCCGTAAATACAAACTCGTGTACATGCGTACAGTGCGAGACATTTGTGACATTTCATTATGAAAGCTAAATATCTACATGAGCAGATCATTTCTAAGGCTTTTTTGGGTCATCAACAGAACTATGAACTGAGGAAAGCTCGACAAGCTTAAACATGTTTGATTTCCACAGTTTTTTTAAGGAATTTTCAGTTTTTTTCTTCTATTACTGTCATTATTAAAGAAACCCAAAGAATAAACCCAACATTTTATATCAAATAATCTAGTAATATCCATCTTTTAAGTAATACTAACTAAACTAATCAAGCAGTACGCACTGTACAACTATCTATCTGTCCATACTTGTATGTATTAGAAGTGTGTGTGTTTGTGCGGGCAGACATGCAACGCACCAAAACACCCACCCGAAACACACACAAACCCAGACACAAACTCATAGACAGACATCCCTAGACCTAAGTTGCATGAACTTCAGTTTCGCCTCACATTTCGGGGCATGGAAGGGGTTTTCCAAAGGGGCGAGGGAGTGCCTACCAAAGCGAGCCAAAACAAAAGGGCGGATAGTGGGATGACTGGTGGTGGGTGTGGCACATGTGGGTGGCAAAAATGGCAAAATGGAAACGCATACAGACACAAAGACATGGATGCGAGGAGGGGGGCTTCTAGGGGTTCTAGACACGCACACACACATGGACTTTGGCCAAGCCCAAAGGCCTGGGATGCCGCCATTTTACTGCGTCCTGCACACAACCCTCAGAATTTTCCACCCAAGCTTCCCGTGCCATACACCACACTTGCAGCCCCCCTTGCACATTCGTGTTGCAGGTGCGCCGCCACGAAAAGGGAAGGGGTGGAAGAGTGGTGGTGCTGTTGTGTGGATGGGGATATATCTCCTAGTCCTAGTCCAAAGAGTTGATTGCGAGCTCGGCAGAAAATTTCCGACCTATCGCATGCAGTATCCTCGTTGCGTTTGCAATGCCACCCAAATGCCCCCAAAAAAACACCCATACCATTCTCCCCCGTCCATCGCATGCGTGTGTGTTTAAGCCCGTTCTGCACTCCTGGCTAAAAACCCAAAGAGATAGATATAGCCAGTGTTGAGAAAGGTAGCCATTCTTTGACCTTCGCAAAGGTACAAGTTAAATTAAATTATAAGAAGATTTTAGGAAAAAGTTTGTTTTGATCTATAAACACTTTCATTATTTAAGTTTTTATGCACTTTCATATTAATATTACTTAAAAATAAATGTCTCATCTTAAGAATATTCAAAATATATAATTCTGTAACTTTAAACTGTCATTTAAATATTTTTTAAACTGCTTTCTGTTTTACGATTTGATTTTACCAGGAAACAAGTTTATTCATGATCAAACATGTTTAGTTTTAAATCAAGTTTACTTTTTAATCTTTGTTTTATTTAAATATTTTTGAACTAATTTCCCATTTTATATCCTTAGAGGTACCTATATGCCCCGTACCCACTGTACATCTAACTAGATACTTCCCATCACTGGACATAGCGAACGGAGCTCATCCTGTCCGAAAGCCGGGTCTTTCCTTTTTCCATTTTTCCCTTTTATTCCTGAGTGGGTGGCAGAGAAAATTCCTTGCTGCGATATCAATTAAGGATACAGCTCACTCACAGGCCCCGCATCCTGCTGCCTTCGTTTTATCCTTTATTTTTGAGGATTTTTCGGTGGCCATAGGCAGACTCAGAGACCAAAGTCCAGTTCCAAATCCACCTCCCCCGCTCCCACAAAATACAACAAAAAAAAAAAAAAAAATGAGAAAAAAAAACACCATCTAAGCCCGAAACTTTGTTCAATGCTGCAATGGACAGGCCAAAAAAAAAAAAAAAAAAAACAGGAAGCAGAAAAAGAGAGAGGGATAGCGTGGCCGAGTGGGACAGCACCAGTGCACACACAGAGTTGCATGTGCGTGTGTGCGTCGTGTGTGTTGGTCTTAATGGAAATTGGTTTTATGCATGTTGGCTTTTGTTTATTTTTACAATTTTGATGATGTTTTGCTGAATGCGATGCGAGTGGCAGTTCCCCTCTCACTCCCACTCTAATATCTATCTCTTTCTATCGCTTACGCTTGCCCTACCATTTGTCTATGTGTGTGCTGGTCTTTTTGGGTGTTGACTGTACTTCCGGACATTGCATTACATTACGTAGCACATGTGTGTTAGTCTGTGTGCCGGGTATTTTTCGGAGCTAGGCTGTACGCCCTTTTTCGATTAGCTTTCAAACAAAAATGGCGCATTCGGTGTGCGAGCGAGAGGGTCAGCTGCACGAGGTGCACTCGAGGTCCTTTTGGGGTGAACTGTACCCGGGAAAAAAAGTTCCTCGAAAATTACAAAACACTGTACCAATCTGTAAGATTATTAAAGATTTGGTTTTCTGTGTGGTTCTACTGTAATTAGGTTAATTAAGCAGTGACTCAGTTTTTTAACTATTATTATTTCATACGAAAACCAAGTTTTAGAGTAGATTAAATAAGCTTGTTTCTAGTTGAGAAATAAAGTGAACAAAAATAAGGCTGATAAGGTCTGATTAGAAGTATATAAATTAGAAGCATAAAGCATCATATTTGTGTTTCACTCTAACAAAAGTTATCCAAGAAATTTTGTACTTTGTATTCATTTATACTTGGAAAAATGATTAATTTTGTTATAACTTCACAATCAACTTTTAAAATTCCATTAAATTAAATTAATTAAATTTAAAAATCAAGGAAAATTTCTCATTAAAATGGAAACTTGAAGGCATAATTATCGATTTCCTATACTTTGAATACAGATCTATATCTATCGAAAACTTGGTACGCACTTCCAAAATTTTCAAGCAGCAACCAAAATTTCTCCCAGAATATACAAGAATTTCTTTGAAAAAACTTTTACGGCAAAACTCGACAATTTTTATCGCACGAAAGAAGAAAAAATATTGCAAACTATTTATTCAGGTAACGATAAATGCCACGTGGAAAAGCTGGCTAGAAAGAGAGCCCAAAATGACATTTAGAAAGAGACAGAGTCCAGTGGATGGGGGACAGTTGATAGTTGGTGGTAAATAGTAGGTGGAGAGGTGGACCACTTGTAACGATTAATAGCCATAGTTATGGCCTGACCATTACCCCCTTACGAAAAAAAAAAATGTCCCTCAACTTTTCCAGCATTTTCCCTTATTTTCCATATTTCAGTTTGTCCCACACAACAACAACACAATGAAGCTGCCGATAAAAATCCTCCAACACACACACACAGTGACTCGAACACCGCATTTTGCATATGCGTTTTCCAACATCCCATGGAAAACCACCTACCAATCCCCCACCCACTACCTTCCATTTACCGGAAAAACAAAATCGACACACAGACTAAAAAACGGAGAACACAACACCGGCAGCTAAAATACAACAAAAAATAGTAATAAAAAAATGAAAAACCAGAGAGAAAAAATTCCTTTAGGTTCGACATTTGACTGCCCTGTGTGTGTTGTTGGTCAGGGGCCTCGAAATCGCCACAACCAGATATATATATTCGCATATAGATATATATATATATATGCCAGCGAGGAAGAGCACCCAATCAGAGGCGGGAAAAGGGTCCTGGTTAGCTTTTTTTCGGGGGGAGTGGCCAGGCACACACACTCGCACAGGATAAAAAATCAAAAAACAAAAATAGAGACGGCATTTTTTTCCATCGCCAGACCCGAGGGCCCCCATCAAACTGGACAGGGGGCAGCAAGGGGTTAAGCCGGACTTAGTGGGAGGCCTGCCAACAGAGGGAAATCCAATCCAAAGGCCCCAAGTTGAGCCAAATGATTGACAACTGCAATCGTGACGAGTAAACACAATTTTTCTATTTTATAATGGAATTTCTTAAGGAAAAATATGTCTTAAAATTGATTTAAAAATATGTATCAAAGAATTTGTAATATTTTAGGTTAATTAATAAACATAATTTGTAATAAAATTAAAGTAAAAATAGAAATATAAATAAATAATCACATAAACTATAGATAAAATGTTTAATAAATGTAATAAAATATTTTAAAAAATATTCTAAAATTTTAGTTAACTTACGTACTACTTTTTACACCCAAAAAACGCCCCCCAAAAACTTAATTTAAATAAAACACAACTTATTTTTTTTATAATTTTTTTATTTGAATTTTTCGTTTTTATTTTGTTTTTAATTATTTTTTTCTTAGAAAAAATTAAATTAAATTAAAAAAAAAACTGAATTAAATGTTCCTCTTGATTTTTATTCTTGTTTATTCTTTGATTTATGTTTGCTTTTCTGTTGCTATTGTTATTTTTTTTTATTATTTCCGGTTTATCCTTTAGTGATTTTTGGGTGACAAAAATTTAATTACTGTACACAATTTTTTATGTTCTTTTTTTTTAATATTTTCTGTTGAGAACTGCTCTTGAAAATTTTACGCAATCAAGCCACTACTTTTATGTTTTTGTATAAATATATAGTGTATGCATTTATAGTTTTTTTTTTAAATTTTTTTTTATGTTTCGTATTTTTTCAAAAATTACTAATAGCTTAAAGGCTTGTTCTTGTTTGTTTCGTTAAAAAAATTGTTTTCGAATAAAACCATTTATCGTTTATCAAAGGGACTCTGACACAACCCAGGCAAAGCTCAAGTATCAATCGAAATGTTCTCTTCTTCATCTTTTTTTCTAAAAAAAAAATATAATAAGAACCAATTGACATCGGATCACATCGGAAAATTGAGTTTAAAAAAAGTTTAAAAAATTATTGAGAATCTATTTTGAATAGACATCAGAGTTCATAATGAATGTACAAGAAATGAAAATTAGAAATCCCTTCTTTAGTTGCCTCTTTCCAATTGATTTATTTATCTGTTGCTACATCATGGGTTAAATGTTTATGGGTTGGTTATTTCAGTTTTACACATATAAATATATATAATTAAATATACGGCTATATGCATATAGACACCAGAACCCGCTGCTTCTCAAACAAATCAATTAAAACCAATTACTTTTATAGATTTTTTTCAATTTTTTTTTCTTTTCGGATACATGGTATTTTGTATATGACTTACATAAAGAATGCTTTCGCTATATCTCTCCCTTCTTCATTTCGCCGATCTCCCCGATCGATTGGTTGAAAAAAAAATATATATATATATGTATATTATATATTATTATGTATATCCCGCCCCAGAAGGTTCGAAAAAAAAAAAATGATTTTTCTTTCATTTAAACATCATTCTTATTTTTTATGTTTTTCTTTCGTATGCTTTAGGTGTGTTTGCTGGTTGTTTTTAAAGTATGCATTTTTGTTTTCTCTTTGTTTTTGCCCACCCGCCCGCCGTTCATGTCGCGCACCCACTTTCTGGAAAATCGCCGATATAACTGCCGGATCCGTTTCCTTACTCTCCTCCTAACCTCGGGCGTTCAGTCTTCGACGGCATATTTCTGAGTCCACTCACGGGCATTGCGAATGGCCTCCGCCTCATTGACCTTCCACAATTCAGCCACATCATTGGCCAATGGATCATCGGGATTGGGTGCACTTAGCAATGCCTGAATCGACAATAATATAGTACGTATCTGCAAGGCCGGACTCCATTTATCCTTCAAGACATCAAGACAAATGCGTCCCAATCGATCGATATTTGGATGATAGATCTTTGTTATGAAACGGACTTTGGGTGCCGACATCGGATAATCCTCTGGTAGGAACAATTCCAACTTAAATACACCGCCTTCGAAGGGCGAATCATTCGGTCCAGTTACAATAACATGAAAGTATCGAGCATTATTCTCATCGGGAATGGCATTGATCCCGGGAACTGGTTCCTGCATCAGACGCTGAGTCTCCTTGATGATACGACGTGGCAGACTCGACATTTTGTTAGCTGTTGCTTTCTATTCTTTTCTTGGATAAATTCTGGGGATGTGGATTATGTCTAAGGCTTCTCCTTGAGCTAAATGGAACAAAAAAGTTAGGAGTAAGTTAAAGAAAACTAAGTAGTTCCTAAATAAAGTCCTCAACTTGAGATTTCCCTGTATCTTCCTTGATTTTCCGATATACAATTCAAAAATATAATAATTCCCTATAACAAATTATTGATTTTAACTAATTAGAAAACCTAAAACCGAGAAAAGTAAACTTTAAGCCCGTTAAATTGAATTTTCTTTAAGAAAAAGAAGTTTGGAAATCGAAATAAATTTGAAGGTCGTTCTTTATGAAGATGTGTGCTTGTCTGTATGTAGGGTCTGGGTGGATTCCAGTTTGATACGTGGCTTTCACTTTCCTCAAGAAAGTTTTGCTGCAAAATTTTGCATGCCACAAAGATGTCTTTCTAATACAGTCAGTACTAGCTATTGCTACACAAGGAAGTAAACATTATGGTTATATAAAATATAAATTTTGAACTATACAAAATACATTTTATTTTAATAAATTAATAAATTGAACTAATTCTTTTCATTATTTTTTTAAATTTTAAGTAATTTTTTAACATTTTACATAACATTTATATAAATTTTAAACAAACAAAAAACAAATGTATAAAGTCTCTGGGAAAATATCATAGTTAAGTTACCAATATTTTTAATTTTATAATCATTTCATAAGCAGATATCTAGACCTAACAGACTGTATACCAAAAATCTAGATCCTAAGATCTTGACTATATTCTTCTAAAATCAATAATTTACAACATATTAAACTCAATAATCTTTTGGCATAACTAAATTTAAATAAAATTCCAAAAGCCAAACTAATTTTCTTTTTGTGTAAGACTCGACACACCCCACACTTGCCACCCCATTCTTTCAACGTGACCTTGCGGCTCCTTTAACTGTTTACATTTCCTAGACACACGGAAAAATCAAGTCAAATAAAGAAAACGCAAGAGGAAGACTAAGATAAACACGAAACAAAAAAGGCCAATAAATACGCAAGATGTGTCGAACTTTCCAGAAAGTTCATTACAAAAACAACAAACAAAAGAAATTGCGTTTTAAAAACGCATAATTATAATATTTTAATCATAATTTCTTTTCTGCTGGTGTGCGGCTTTTCGTTTTTGTTGTTGTTGTTGTTGCTTTTATAATTTTATTGATTTCCCTTTTGGGTGACAAATGCACGTAGTCCGCAGCAGAAGAAGAAGCAGTATAAAAGGGGAAACAATGAGGGGGTAGAACTGGGCAAAATGCTTGAAAAATCAATAATGTTGGCAATTTAACTATAAAAAAAACACCTAATAAGATTTTCCTTTTTCTGCTTTTCTTTTTTTGCAAGCAGTTACTCACACACACACAAACACACACACAAATCGAGACACGCACGCACGCACACAGGCAAATCGCAGACAACGCGCACGAAAAAGACAAAGGCAAAAAGAGAATATGCGAATGGGCAAGACAAAGAAGGCGACCAAAAAAAAAAGAAAACGCCGCGTTTTCGGCGAATTTAATTAAACAAAAAAGAAAAAACAGATGAAAAACTAAATGCAAATGCCACAATTCTTGTTTTTTGCACACACTCACACAGGCACACACTCAAACAGAGCTACCTCAGTTTTATCAATTTTTACGGTTATTTTCTTGGTCTTCTTCAATTTTATATTAACTTTTAACTGCTTCTTCTTCTAACTGCTGCTCCTGCCTTTTGTTGTTGTTGTTTTCAGCGTGAATTTCTTATTCGGCCTTTTTCGTTTGCATTTTATCTTTTCTTCCGACAAAAACCATGATTTGTCTCTATATTGTTGAACTTTTGATTAACACAAACTCACAGGGTAACAGCGCCAAGTATTCGATGATTTCAATTAATGTTTTCGGCCAAAATATCCTTTTAGAACTGTAATTTTTTTGATTTTTTCAGGCAGCTCCAACACAAAAATTATGAATGTCGAACACACTCGAAAAAAAATGTTGCCGTTTAGTGGTATGCGTGCGCGTATGTGTGACTAATATGCGTCTGTGTGGCGTGCGTGTGAGCGGCAATGTCAGAAAGACAGGGTTGCCAAAGTAATCGTTATCCAAAATCAGTTTTTTTATTTTAACTTTTCACTGCGTCAATGTTAGATTTTAATTTAAACTGCTTATCTCCTTTATTTTTCAATTATTTTCTTGTGATGTATGAAATTAATTCGTACTTTGCTAGGTAATTTTATATTTCATACTAGTAAATCGTAATTTTTATTGACAACTCTAGCTGTTAGCGGCTGTCAAATGTGCCCGAATTTCGTAACAATCAGCTGGATGGCACGATGCAGACCTCAGTTTTGCATCATTTAGCTTTTTTCTTGTTCACAAATGGTTTGAAATTTGGCGGGGTTTAATCCAATTGGATAAAATGTTTATATTCCTTCAATTCATTTTGTTTAATGTTTTTTTTTTATTTATATTTATTTTAACTACCATCAATTCAAATTATTATTCAATATAATAACAGGCTTAGGTTCTAATTTATAGGCTTATTTATTATTAATTTCTTAACAAATATTAAACTACTCTGTAGAACTTATTTTAAGTAATGCGAACTTAACCTATTAATAAGAATATAATAAAATAATTATTAGTTAAATTGTTATTAGTCTGACTGTGGTAACGATTTAAAATAAATTTCAGGTGAAAAGTAGTTGAAAATAAATATTTAAGCAATCTGCAACTGTCATTTTTCCAAATTGGCCTTTTTTGTTTACATTTTTTCTTAAAAAATACATATATTATCCCTTTAAAAAAAATAACTGTTAAATAGGTCCAATAAGATCCTGGTAAACTTCCAATAGGAAACGACGTCAAAAAGTGAGATGGCTACAACAACAACAGATTGTCAATTTGGTGTAATCAACATTTATGCGTTTTTAAAAAAGAGAGGCTGTCCAAACACACACACGCAACAGACAACGAATACGTGCGCGAACTTGCATGCTCACCCACACATTGAATGCAATGCCCAATGGACGCACAAGAAGGCGAAAAGAGCAATAACAAAAAACACAAGCCAAAAGGCAGAAAACTAAAAACAACGAGACAAAAAAATATAGCAACAACCTCTCGCTCGCACACACACATGCTATTTATCATTCGTATTCGCTCGATTGCATAGGCCGCATGCAAGTGTGTATGTGTGGCTGTGTGCGAGAGTGTAAGATAAAAACAAACAGCAACAACTGCAAAAAGGGCAACAAAACCAACAACAGCACAAGTCAGCCATATGCATTACACACACTCGCACACATACACGTGTGCGATCTCCGTTTTTAGGCTGTCCAAAACAACAACAACGCTTGTAGTCCAGCCCACAAGTGAGAGCGAGAGCAAACAACCTGCCTCTCTGCCATTCTGCTGCAACTGCGCTGCTTTCCCCTACGCAGTGTTTGGTTGATAGAGCGAGAGGGGGGCTATACAGAGAGCGCGGGGATGGCGACCTTTACTCGCTCTTGAGTTGCAACTGTGTTGTTAGTGTATTTTTGCGATTTAAGTTTTACCGTTGCAGATGATCTGCTGGAGAGCAGACGGATGAAAAAGAAGATGAATATGGCCTAGGAGTAAGTAGCAAGGAGATGTTAAGCTAATGAGAGGGAGATGAGAGTGACGCTTGACAACACATTTGACATCAGATCATTGAATAATTAGGACGCACTTTTTGGCTAAGGAGGAAAACTGGAGGAATTTGTATTTAAAACTTTAAATTACTTTAAATTAATTGTTAAAAAGTGTTTTTATTAAACCAATGATGATGATGGATATTGATCTTGCTGGTTAAAACCAAGAAATGCTAAATTCGACAAAACGACGCTTATTTTTGGAGACTTGCAAAGGAAAAAAAAAATGCTAGAACGTATGGAAAGGAAGATGCCACATTTTGGAGAGTTAATAGAATGGCGTCCCTTGTTGTTGTATCGAAATAGAACTAGTGCAAAAGAAGAAGTAAGAAAAAAAAGTGTGTACATATATTAACTTGGTTTTTTTTTTACGCAGGTGTTAACTTCATCTATTATTTTCTTATTGAAACTCAAAACTCAAAAAACAAAATGAAACTAAAAACGTATCGTAAAGAAAATAGGTGAAGTATTATGAAATTATTAATATTTTTTCTATTACTAATTAAATTTTTAATCTAAAATACATTTCTGCCATGGGAAAAGGAGGAAATGGAAGGGAAAATTGAAGAAAAGTGCAAGTTTAGAGGGCTCACATCGAGGGACGGAAGTATGGGGTAAGTGATCATTTTCATTTTATTGCACTTCCATAAAATTTTATGGTTTTCCTATTTTAATGGCCGACGTTTTCCTGCCATAGTTACAAAAACATGGCGTAGTTTTCTAGGGGTTTTTCATGCCATGTAATTATTGGGGTGGGTTTCATATTTCAAATGGCCATTTCTGTACTAGTTTTGGATAGTCAATGTTTGTAACTTGAAAAATTATTTATTAGAATAAAAAAAAACTTATAGAGTAATCAATTTATCATATATAATATATATATATCATTTAGAGAAATAAATCTAAAAAGTATATTTAACATTTAATAACAGACTAATTAATCATAGTAAAAAACCTTTAAAAATCCAAACAAACTTAGATGAATATATTTGCATAATTTCTACCAAACTTTACCGCCATCTAACAGATTTTTAATTTTTATATAATTATTTCACCAAATATATTTAATATATCAAATTATCATGTATATTTGTATACATATTTGTTTATTTTTTTACTGAATATTATTATTAACATATATCTTTTTAAATAGTATATGTTTTGGCGTAAAAATATATCATCAATATCAATCAATCTATATGATAAATTGATATATAAATATTTTCACGCCAAATCATACACTATGCAAAAATATTTTATTCTTATTAATAATATACAGTACAAAAACTACACAAATGAATAATGAGATTATCGGAACTTACAAATATGTTAAACATTTTATATAAAGGTTTTTTTTAATCTTCATTTATTAGCATTTTAATAATATGCGAAGTTTATAGTTGAAATGCTAATAATTACAGAAATAAAACTCCGCTTCATATAAAGTGTTTAATAATATATATTGCAAGAATATAATGATTAAACTAGAAAAACCCACATTAATTCAACTAAAAATTAAAAGCATACAAAACTCAAGTCGCTCAACTTAGTAACTTAAGGAAAATAAAGACTAATTTGTCTTGCAAAATATTCAAAACGTAAAACTTTGACGGCACTTCCTGCGTAGGAAATAAATCTGAGTATTGTTTTGTAATTAGCACCTCAAATTTCCTGTCCTTTTTCTTTTTAAAACTTTCTTTGATTTTTCCTCTTTTTTTTGCTGGTTTTCCTTAGAAGGAAACTGGCAACATTTCTTTTGTCAACAAGTTGCTAAAGGAGAACTTCAGCAACATTTTCCAATCAGAAATTTAGGCTTTCTCTTTTTTTGTTCGCCTGCAGTGCAAATGTGCATCTCAAGAGTGTGCAAAAGAGACTTGAACAGAGTATTTGAGGCGGCAGACAAAGAGACTTCTCTTGAGCCCAAAAAACGCAACGAACAAAACGAGCAAAACAAAAACAGCGAAAACACAAACAAAAAGAATCGCCGCTTTCTTTTGACTTTTTCTTGTTCTGTTTTGTTTTCGTTTGTTGTTTGTGTTGTTGCTGTCGAAGGGCAGTTAAAGGGAAAAGGGGGCGGGGCGGCGCACGCAAAAATATAAAATAACAAAAGTAAGGAAAATGTGTCCATTTAGATTTGTTTTTTTTTTTTTAGTTGTAGTTCACAAGTGTCCATGAGAAATAATATCAGGGGATATCTTATGAGGTCTGAAATTTATCATATGGTTTTTAGATAAGAAGAAGAAGTATGAATCAAGGATTTCCCAGAAGTTTTTTCATTATTAAAAAAAATATAAGAAAAATGTTAGCAGATTTTAAATCATAGATTAATAGCAATAAATATATGATTAATAGATGTTGTAATTTTCCTTTAAAGAAAAAATATCAAAATTTCTGTGATGAAAACGCAAGTTCTAAAATCTCTAAAGAGATTTCATATACACAAAATTTTCTAAATTGTACATATTTTTTCAAAAAACAGTGCTCAAAATGGCTTAGAATATATCAAAATCTAAAGATCTTAGAAAATATTGTGGAAAAGTAAGCTTAAAACTAGAAATAAGAACCTAAACCAAACCTAGAAAACTAAATTTCTGTGAAATTATCAAGATTTTCACTTCAGACACGTTTCTTGGGAAAACGTATAAAAATTTCAAAGTTTTCTTTCCGGAAAATTTGCTAATGAAATTCTATAGAGATTTCTATAAAATATAGTTTGGCTTCCCCAACCACATATCTGGCAAAAGATATTTTATCAGTGACTCTAAAACATCACATATATGTATATATAAAAATAAGGCACATTCTATTGCCTACTTTTAAGCGGATTTAATTAAGTTATTTCAAATCTCCCCTTCTTAAAGGGTATTTGATATTTTGAATGTCCTGCAATGAGCTATTCGACCCTGTGTTGTTGTTCTTGTTGCTTCTGTTGCTGTTTTTGGGGTCGCGCTCGTCGTTTTGTGAGTGCAACAGACTTGGCTTAGAGTGGATGTGGGTGGTTGTATGGGCTAGTGTAGGTTGGGTGGCTAAGTGGGTGGCTGTGGGACGATTGAGGGAACAAAGGAAACCCTTGGCAACGCAGGGCCAACAAAAAAGAAGCAGACACAAAAAAATGTTCATACGAAGTAGAAGAAGAAAAAGAAGAAGAAGAAGATGTGGCAGCAGCTAGCTAGTAGATGACGATGACGATGAAGAAGAACAAGAACAAGAAGAATACGAAGAGCCCCGACGAGGACGAACGAAAAGGGACGAAGTCCCGTTCCTTTTTCTTTCACTTTTTTTGTGTGGGTGGAAAATTGCGTCCTGTGGGCCGTTTGTTTTGCTTTTCTATTTTATTTATTTTTGGGTAGTGGGT